CTGTTTAGGGCAAACACGCTTCCGCGCCGTCGCGTGGCGTGTGCCAGTGTGCCTGCCGCCTGCCTGCAGCCCCGCTGCCGTGTGTCGGCTCGCCATGTCTGTCTGTCTGTCTGTCCGCCGCGTGGCGTGCGGCGACGTTCTCGGAACACCAGGCCGGGTAGCGCGGTAGCGCCGTGCAGGCAGGCAGCACTCGGCCCGGCCGACAGCCATGCGCCCGGGTTGCCTGCCTCGCAGGCGGCATGACCCGCACTCTCGGGGGCGGTGGACGGCTTCACGCGGGCGCGGGCATGGAGGTGAAGGGCCGGCGCGTCGTCGCCGAGCCGCGCTCACACAGCGCTGGCATAGCACCGCGAGCAGGAGCGCCCTTGGAAGTTGGTCTGTTGGAAGGCATCCTTTTGCAAAGGGCTTCGACATGTTTGACCTTTGCTGCGCGCTGGGCGCCCCGTCGGTGAGTGGGCGGCGCGGGCGGGCGGCGCGCAGGGGTTCGGCCCCCGTCAGGGCCCCCGTCAGGGCGCGCGGACTTCAGCATCCTCCCCGCCCTGCCGACTGCCGCCCCGTGGAGGCCCTGGGGCTCGCCCTGGGCAGCCCCGGGCCAGGCCCTCGCCGTGGTGGCGTTGGCGCTGCCTCGCGGCCTCGGCGTGGTAGCCTCGCCGTGGTAGCCTCGGCGGGGCTGACATTTCTCTGACATTATAAGGCCTGGCCTCGTCGCGCGCCGCCGCACCGCGCGCCGCGCAGGGCCGCACAGTGCAGCGGCAGGGCTCGCTCCCTTCGACGGCCACCTCGCCTCGTCACGTGACGCGTCGACGCGTCTCTCGGCGCGTGCGAAACACCGGCTGGCATAACGACGCGTCGGGGTCGGGCCTAGATCGCGAGCGGCAGCCTGATGCCGCTCAACGTCCCGTCGCTCTGTCTCTCTCGCACCCGCACGGGCCGCCGCCTGAGTGCGAGAGAGACAGAGACAGCGAGCAGCACGCCCTTTGCGCCTTTGTCTCGGGGCCGGGCCGGCCGGGCCTGTTGCACGTGCGCGGCGATGATGCTGCGCGATGCTGCGTGATGCGATGCACGCCGTGGCCGCGAACTGTGCCACCTTGCAAGGCGGCAGACTGGTTCCGAGAGTCGCTCTCGTCGCTCTGTCTCTCTCGCTCCGAGACGGGGCGCTCCACGAGTGCGAGAGAGACGGGACGACTCTCGGAATCGGTCTGCAGGCCGTCGTCGTGACGTTGAGGAGGCGCATCGCGGAGCATCGCGGCCCTAATGCGTCCTTAATTGGTCAACGTGCGCGGGGCAGTTTGACAGGCTTGCCCCCCTTCCCCCCTCCCCTTTCGCCCGGTTGGTGCGGTGGTAAGGAAGGCCTATCAGATGCATGTCACAGTGCCGTCTCCTCGTCGTCGTCGTCGTCGTCGTCGTCGTCGTCGTCGAGTCCCCCCTCCCCTACTCAAGTCGAGAAGCAGACTCGCCTCGCCTCGGCTCGGCCAGTTTTGCAGTTGGGATTGCAGTGCCCGGCGGCGGCACACCAGCAGCGCCACACCGCGCCCCGCGTGCGCGAGGGACTCTGCGAGAAATGCCCTAACGGTGGATAAAAATTTGAGGGAAAAAGTAAGATGGCGGTGATAGTGGGTTGTACGCGAGATGGGCAGGTCGAGTCCATCATCCTGGTGGTCCTCCAGGTCGTGGTCGTCCTGCGCGCGCAGGGTGGTAAACAGGATAGAGTTTCGGTGCGCCCCGCAACCGCAGCGTGAACCGCAAGTGGGCGGGGCGGGGCGGGGCGGCCAGGTCGCGCCGTGTTTCGGCCTGGACTCTGGACGGCCATCACGGCCGTGTCCACGTCGTCCACGTCCGCGGCCTAATGGAATCGCAGATCGCAGGGACGCGCTTCGTCGGCGGGGAGCTAGCGGCCGAGCGCGAGGCGAGGGACGCGGCCCGAATGATGCAGCAGTCGTAGCAGTCTCTCTCTCTCTCTCTCTTTCGCACCCCTGCGGAACATCCTATGGGCACGAGAGAGACGGGAGCGACGACAGTTGGGAATCCATCCGCCTGCAGAGTGCCGCAAGACTGTATCTCGATTTCCATGAAATGTGAGCACCGCGCGTCTTCTCCTCGTGCCTGCAGGCTGCAAGTGGCTGCAAGCCTGTTGAGCTGTTGAGGAGAGTCTTACCGTCGCCCTGTCTCTATCGCACTTATTGGGTTCTGCATAAGGGTGCGAGAGAGACGGAGTGACAAAAAAAACCCTTAAAAAAAAAAAAGGGGGGTTTAAACATTTCCCCCCCCCCCCCGGGGGCCCCCCCTTTTTTTTAAAAAGGGGTTTTTCCCCCCTTTTTTGGGGGGGGGGTTTTTTAAGCCCCCAAAACCCCCCCGGCCCCCCCTTTTTGGGGGGGGGGGGCCCCCCCCCGGGGGGGCCCCCCCCCCCCACCCGGGGGCCCCCCCCCGGGGAAAAACCCCCGGAAAAAAAAGGGGAAAAAAAAAAGGGGGTTTTTAAAAAAAAAATTTCCCCTTTTTTTCCCCCTTTTTTTCCCCCCAAAAAAAAAAAAAAAAAAATTTTTCCCCCCCCGGGGAAAAAAAGGGGGGGGGCCCCAGGGGTTTTTTTTTTCCCCCCCCTTTTGGCCCCCCGGGGAAAAAAAACCCCCCAAAATTTTAAAAAAACCCCTTTTTCCCCCCCCTTTTTTCCCCCCCCCCCCCCCCCCCCCCCCCCCCCTTTTTTTTTTTTTTTTCCCCCCCAAAAACCCGGGGGGGGGGAGCGACGACAGTTGGGAATCCATCCGCCTGCAGAGTGCCGCAAGACTGTATCTCGATTTCCATGAAATGTGAGCACCGCGCGTCTTCTCCTCGTGCCTGCAGGCTGAAAGGGGAATTTTTTTTTGGGGGGAGAGTCTTACCGTCGCCCTGTCTCTATCGCACTTATTGGGTTCTGCATAAGGGTGCGAGAGAGACGGAGTGACAAACCGATCTTCTGTACGGCTCGGCTGCCCCGCCCGCCCTGCCTCGGCGCTGGGTTGCTGCACTAGGCCAGGCCGCGAGAACCTGCCGCGCCGCCGGCCCGCCCGCCGCCTCCTGGATTAGAACGAAATAAGTAAGAGTGGTCGGGATCCAAGAGAGAAGGGGGCAGGCCGGGCAGGCGATGTCGTCGTTTTTGTGGCCCGCGCGCACTTATGACGCAGCGTCGCGTCGGCCGCCACATTTCCCTTGTTTATTTTTAGTCGTTGTGCGTGCATGCGGCGCTGCTGGGGGGGGGCCCGGGGCCGGGGGCGGCCCGGGGGGGGGCGGCGCTGCGCACGGGTGCACGCGTGGCGGCGGCCGCGGTGCGCACCATGCCGCCGTGCAGCCGTTTAGCGAATGTTGGCGAGTCCTCCGACTCTCTTCCGCCGCCGAAGTGGCCAACTGCACCCCCTCCACCCTGCCTGTGTGTGTGTGTGCGTGTGTGTGTGTGTGCGGGGGCTCTGTGTGCGAGCCGCGGACCGCGAAGCACCCGTCGCCGCGGTGGCCAACAAGACACTCACCATTCCGAGAACGACGCGGTCGTAGAGATAGGGGAATTTATTTGACGCGTGTTCGCACACCGTTGCCTCCCCGTCTAGGCTCGCGGCGGGCCGCGGCGGGCAGGCCTAGCCTCGCGGTGGGCAGGGCTGCGCGGTGGTGTTCTGGGTATTTTCAGGGCGGCGGTGGCCCTTTCCGAGGTAAAAATTTTTGGGGGGTGGAGGGAACGGCTTTTTTGGGATTCGGCGCGGGCGGCCGGGGGGGCCGCGGCGGGCCCGGTCCCCGCTGCCGCCTCGGCCGCCGGGCCGGATATTTGGTGGTTGTCGGCCAGTCGGCCGGCCGGCCGCCAGCCGTCCGCTGGCAGCGCGAGTCTCGCGAGGCGGTCGCAGGCGAGTTTTAAACGAAGCAGTGGCTTTTCCCCGGCAGCGTGTGGGGGCGAGGGGCCCTACGCGGGCCCCCCGGACCCCTCCCCCACCGGTTTGGCCGCACCAGTTGGTTTTCCAGGGAACCCCTCGGAGTCCCCCGCCCGCGTGGGCCAGGCGGCCGCACGCGGCCCGCGAGGCTGGGCCGCCGTGCGCCAGGTGGGCCCAAGGCCCCAAAGGCCCCCGGGGGGAGGACCCGCCCCGGCCCGGTCCGCGCCAAGGTGGCCCCCTCAGGGGGAGGCCCCGGAGGGGGGCAGTGGGCCCGCCCGTGCCCGTCTGCCTCTCGGCAGACCCCGCTAGAGGAGTGGGGCCCCGGGCGGGGGGGGCGGGGGGGGCCTCGGCAAGGGCGGAGGACCCGGCCGGCTTCCCGTGGGCCGTCCGGCAGAGGCGGGGCGGGCCGGCCGGCTTCCTTTTTGATTTGTGCAAGGCCCCGGCAAAGGAGGATGGGCACGGGCGTGCGGAGGGGGGAGGGGCACGGCGAGGGGGGGAGGCAGCGGGCGCGTGCCGAGGCGGGTGCTCTCGAAGAGGCGCAGTTGGCCCGCCCGGGCGGAAGGTGTCGCATTCCCGGGGGGGCCCCCGGGGCCGCAGGTGGCGCCCCGGGGGCCCCGTCCGCCGTGGGGGGTGCGGGCCCCCGGCGAGGGCCCCTGCGTGGCGCCGCGCACGGGGGCCGGGCCCGCCAGTCCTCCCTCAGGGCAGAGGCCCCGCGAGGTGGCAGTCCCGCGGCACCGGCGGTCCGCAGGCGGGGGGTTTTGCCTCCTCCACGGCAGGGGCCCCCCGCGAGGTAGGCAGTCCCGCGGCACCGGCGTGTCCGCAGTGCGAGGGGTTGCCTCCCTCCACGGCAGAGGCCCCCGCGAGGTAGGCAGTCCCGCGGCACCGGCGTGTCCGCAGTGCGAGGGGTTGCCTCCCTCCACGGCAGAGGCCCCCGCGAGGTAGGCAGTCCCGCGGCACCGGCGTGTCCGCAGTGCGAGGGGTTGCCTACCTCCACGGCGTTTCCAGACGCCGGCGCCGTCGTGGCGTCGCGACGTGTCGAGGACGTGTGGTGTGTGACAGGGTGCTGTTTTCTTTTACTTTAGTGTCTGACAGTTGTCCTCTTTGGCTTGTTCACAGGGTGCAGGCGCCCCAGGGACCCCAGGGGGCCCGGCGGCAGGCCAGGCCGGCCAGGCAGGGGCGAGCCCGGGGTCGGGGGGCGGCAGGGCGGCGGGGCCGGGGACGGCCTCTGGCCCGACATCGACGTCACGAGGACCGCGCTCACTAGTGCTGCGGCGGCAGGAGAACCAGGACTTCGGCTTCACGCTCAGGCACTTCATCGTGTACCCGCCGGAATCCTACACGGTACGTAGTGCGTTGTTCGAGCGCTGCCGCGTCCGCCGCGTCAGTGTCGTGTGTGCACACTGTGCACCCGCAAAGGCTGCCTTCGCCCTCGCTAACGACCCGGCCGTGTTCCTTGTCTGCAGATCTTGGGCGGAGACCGGCGTATGCACCATGTCGCCGTCGACGAGCCCATGGACACCATCTTCGTGCGCCTGGTCAGGGAGAGCAGCCCCGCGCACCTCGCAGGACTGTGTCAGGGTGAGTAGAGCGTTCCCTTTTGCCTTTTCTGTCCCCGCCCCTCGCGAGGCCCCTCGTCTCCCCTTCCTGTCTCGCATTGTGCTGACCTGCAGGCGGATTCGCTCTGTCTCCCTCGGACTCGCAGGGCGTGCCGTGGGGCGGCGACAGAGACAGGGCGACGAAGCGCTGTCCGGCCTGCTGGTCTGCCGGGGGCCGACGGGGGCACCTGCGCGTCAAGCCAACGGCAAGCCAACGGCACGCGGCGCGTCCGGGACGCGGCCCTTTTCCGGTCTCGTGACGAGTTCGAATGTCCCTTCCCCCTCCCTTCCCCCTCCCCCGTGCCTTGGGCCATTCCTTGCAGCCGGCGAATTGAATAGAAATGCGCCGCGCTCGACCTCTCTCGCTCTCTCTCTCTCTATCTGTCCCCTCTGGCCGCGCCGTTGGACAGAGTGAGACGGAGCGAAGCGAAGCGAGGTTCCCTCCCGCACTCAAATAGGGCAGTGGGTTGTTGCCTTTGCTCGTCTTTCGCCCAGGACTCGGCTCCCCCCCCCCCCCCTTCTCCCCTTTCGCACTTTTCCCTTCGCTGTACCTGTTCTTCCTCTTTTTTTGCACGGACAAAGTGCGACGACCCTGCCTCGTTCTCCCCGCGTACGTCCTGTTTTGTTTTGTGGTCGTTGTTGCCACTCGTATTTTTCTTATCCCCGCACCGCATCCTTTTTTATATCATTTTTTTGGGGGGGGTCCGTCGGTCCGTCGCGTCCACTCGACTCGCCTTGCAGGACAGTATGGTCCTTTGTTTTCCATGCGGCTCGTCAGAGGCGGCCTTTCCCCTGCCCTGGCAACCCGACCATCATCATGACCATCAACGCCCCGCGCACCACTCTTCCCACAATCCGAAACAGAAAACCCAAGTGTCGTTTCGGCGGCGAGTTCGAGTTCGAGTTCGGCCGGGTCGGCCGAGCGTGACGTCACTCCGGCTCGTTGTTTGTCTATTTGACAGGTGGACGCGTCATCGGCGCGTCGGCGCGTCCACGTGCTAGCGGCGTGGCTCGGCGCGTGCCTAGTGTGCGGTGCGTGTGTGTGTGTGTTACGGCCTCCTGCCTCCGCGGCTATCTTGAACGTGTTGGTCCGCACGCGCTATACTACGCTTCGCACTGCGTGTGCCATCGCCGTCCCGCTGGCGGTGTCGTCGCTCTGTCTCTCTCGCGCCCCAGCGGAGTGCTCGCGAGAGCGACAGAGACAGTGCACTAATGACCCTCCTCCATGTCCCGCAGGTGACCGCGTGGTGAGCGTCAACGGCGAGACGATCGGCGGCAAGTCGTACGCCCAGGTGGTGCAGCTGATCCAGAACTCGGGGCCGTTCCTGCACCTGCTCGTCGTGCCCAAGGAGGAGGACCTACTGCAGCAGGTGAGGAAAGCGGACACCGCGGACACTGATGTCCTGATTTGAACGGGGGTGTCAAAGTCGGCGTCAGGAAATGGGCCGGGGCGGAGGGGCGGGCGCGTCGTGGTGGAAAGTTTGGGCAGCCGGCCGGCCGGCGGCGCGGTGGCGGGGCTGCGCGCTGCGCGCGAGGCCGTCGCCGTCATTTGGCAGACGCTGAACACGCCGAACGAAGGCGGCCCGGCGGCGCGGCCGGACGCGAGGACGCCGTCGTGCATTTTATCTCGCGCGGCGTTCGGCGACACTTCGCGCAGCGCCTCGCGGCCCAATGCCGTCGCGCCTTTGCGTCGCGCTCTCGGTACAGTCCGCGGCAGCAGTGCGCGCTGCGCGTCGGGAGCACGTCGCCGCTAGCATAGCCGGCATGGCCAGCAGCGCGGCGCCCCGGCCGCGCGTTCCTGCCGCGACTGTACCGCGCGCGCCGTGCTATTGAGGAGGCTCTGTTTTGATCTCCGCTATCGCCGCGTGGCCCGGGCCCAGGCCGGCCGTGGCAAGCTGCGGACAGGACAGGACGGAGCGCGACGACGACGACGCGGCGCCGGGGGAGACGACGGCGAGGTTCGACGCACGCCGCAGATATGTGCTGCTTTAAGTGCGAGGCGAGGGCGCGCGGGCGTGCAGGTGCCGCCCATGTGTGATGTTCGCAGCGGTGTGTGAGTGTTTAGTGTTTTCGTTTCCGACGGGACTGTACCCGTGTAGTGTACGCGGTACGTCCCCGGCGAAACGGAAAGGAGTCCCGACTCGTCCGCTCCTTGCTGGTGCTGGCGGTGCTGGCCTTTGCCGCGCGCTGTGCGCTGCGCGCTGTGCTTTGCCCCGGGGGGCGCAGCCAGGCGTCCGTCGCGTCCCGTTGCTTGTTGCCGAACTGTGTCACTGACTTGCTCTCCGTCTTCCTTCCGGCAGTACTTCGGCGAGACGGCGCACAACCCGGAGACGAACCAGCGGCCCCAGAGGATGCGGTCCCCCGACGTCCGGGACCGCGACCACCGCGACCAGCGCCAGGGCAGCCCGCTCAACTCGCGGCCCGTGTCCGGCGTGTCGGGCGCGTCCGGCGCCGCGGACTTCCCCAGCGGCTGGCCGCCCCCTGCCCTGCCGAGCGGGCCGGCCGGGGCGGCTGACCCCGTGTACGACTCGGTGGGCGGGGCGCGACGGTCCAGCGAGAGCGCCAGCGCGGCCCAGCGCCGGGAGCAGACGGCCAACGCGCGCACGCAGTTCATGATGGGCGGCGCGGCCCCCGTGGCCGCCTCCCTGGTGACGTCGTTGTCGTCGGCCAGGGTGGCGGGGGGCGCGGCGTGGGAGTCGCTGCCCGCGCACTGCCGACTGAGCCTCGACGCCGGCATGCTGGACGGCGGCAGCAGCGGCAGCCTCCCCGGCAGCCTTCCCGGCGGCGTGGGCTCCAGCGGCGCGCCCAGCGCGGACAGCAGTCGCAGGGAGTCGTCGTCGTCCCTGCCCGCCGCGGGGTCCGCCACCGCCGGCTCCGGCACCGCGGCCAGCTCCAAGGACAGCCTGCTGTCCATGGACTCGACGTCCACGCTGCAGGACGGGTGCAGCAGCGACGACTCCGTCATCTTGTCGAGGATCCGGCGCAGCACCGAGCAGAAGGAGGAGTTCCTGCGCCGGCCCGCGCAGCCCATCTGGCCGCTCGTGGACCAGTCGCTGCCTCTCCAGCAGCTGCAGCCCAAGGGGGTGATCGCCCGCGAGTTCTACGCGCGCCCCCAGAAGCTGCAGAAGCCAGTGTGGCCGCCGCTGAGCCCCGGCGAGAAAGACAAGGACAGGGACAAGGAGGCCCCCGACGAGGACCTGGAGTCCGGGCCCGGCAGGGGCACGGCGCCGAACTTCGTGGCCGGCGGCCCGGTCGGGGCGGCGGCGGCGTCGTCGGCTGCCAACGCGCAGGCCAGGGCCAACAAGAGCTACTTCAGCACGCTGAGCAGGATTCAAGAAAACCAAGCCTCCGTTTCTTCGACCGGAAGGTACGTACTCTAGCAAATAGATAATGTCTTGTTGATCACTGAGGAAATCACCAACCCTGATACATTCATGTCACCTCCTCTTTGTAAAAATGTAGAGTGAAATAATTTGTTCAAATTTTCCAGTGAGGACACTGTGATGAATGGAGACTCCACGTCCCTGCCATCATCTTGTTCGTCACGCGGTGCAGAGGAAAACCAACCACATTTGCCTGTGATCCACCTGGTGTCCAGAAGGGCACGCCAGTTTGAGGCAGGTGAAGAGGAAGACAGCACGGACCGGACTAGTTTCTACCGCAGTGAATTGGCCCGGTTGTCATCGAAGAAAGGGGTCCCGGAAGTCGCTGTGCGAAAGCGAGAATATGAATCTCGGAGTTTACAAGATAACTCAAATGCAAGGAAGCTTGAGAAAGGTACGGGCACCGTACAATCCTCTTTAAAGAGTTTTTATGTTTCATGTATGCGCATTTACCATTTTAACATCATGTTTTATTTCTTTTAGCTGGAAGTCCATTGTCATCCAATGTACCTCCTAGTGCTGTGTCTGGCAACAGATCCATACCCATTGGCAGCTCAAAACTTCACTGTGATCCGCCTCCTGATTACAAACCTGCTCCTGGTAATACTCTTGACTTGTGCAGCTCCTTTTGTTGGCTTAAAGCCTATATTTAAAACGATCTTTTTCTTTTTTCATGTTTACTTACACATGTTCACATTTCTTGTTTCCAGAGGACTTATATTATGGACCAGAACCCCGTCCCCAATCAAGCTCTTTGAAGATGCGCATTCGATCTCGTTCTGCAGATCCCAGTCATCGTGACCAAAGAACCAAGACTGTACGGCAGGACACTTACCACAGTGCAATCAGCTCAGGTATTTGTTCAAATCATTTGATCCTTAAGGTTTGCAGTTTACCTGTTTGTTTGTTTTTCACTGAAATTTTTCTAAAATTTTGATCAGTTAATTTTTTTTAAATAATTAATAGCATTTCTATTTTGCTAGTAGTTTTGTGATTTGAGCCACGCATTTCTGCTCATGTAAATAGAAATTGTCGAATGCTTCGTCATTAGCCATTTGCTTTGCACAAAAAAATGTTTTTGGTTTGATTGGTTTTGTTTTAGTTTCACTTGTGTAGAATTTTGGTGAATAGGGTGTTTAAATTAAGAGTGCAATCAGTTCTCATCGTAATTTTTCCTTTTCTTTTCTATGAAGTCATAAGCTGTTTACATAGTAAAGCTTGCTTATGAAGGCACTTATCATTTTGATGCTGCACTCCTCTGAAAATCTTTACTCATACATATCACATATTTTCTTTACTGCAGTAAATGTTTCCAGTTTCCTTTTTGTTTTAATTTCCGTTTCTCTTTTCTTTCATTGCTTTCATTACATTAAGATCGCAAACGTCAGGCAGTGATATCCACTGTCCTGGAGGATGAGAGAGAAGGCTGTGATGTTTTGCCATCTCCAGCCCCCAAAATACTCGCTCCCGATCCATCCTGCTCTCTTCCATCATCCCCTCCTATTCGTCCAAACCAATTGTCTATTGCCAACCCCCTACGCCCTGCTTCATACCCTCAGCGAAATAGCATCGGAGATCCTGAGGGACTTGTGCAAGGTCTTAAAGGTTAGCATAATTCATGTTCGGGTTGTGGCAGTATGTATGAGAAGCTTGGGAATGTGTGTCACATGTGCTGTAGAGTTGTGGTTGGTAATGGTTGGTGTATGTTTTATGAGGTGACTAATGGAATATGTTTAACATATCTTACAGGACTTTCCTGCATTTGCTTGTCTGTCAACTAGTCCTTGGTTTAAATCAGTATCAATTTTTATTTTTTGCATTATAACCAGTTTCCAAAGAAAAGATAATTATTAATAAGTGTTGTGCATTGGGGTTTTGAGTTTAAACCAGTACAAGCTATATTGTTCTTGACAAGTACTAACCCTCAGTGTTTATTTGCTTTTGTTTGTTCCTCTCTTCCAGTGTGTGTTCTATATCTGATGCAATCATGATCTTTATTCTCTAAAATGACACATACCAATCCTTGCTGTTAACTTAATTGGCATGCCCTTTCCCACTTAACAAATCATGACTTTTCATTGTTACCATCCATCTTCAAACTTCTACAGGTTTGACTGTTTCATTAAATATTTTTATTCAAGGTTTAAAATATTGCTCGTTTTTATTTTGCAGGTTCTCCTAGAACAATAGATACTTCGGCTGTTGTGAGAAGACAGAAAGATCCTGCAACAGGTATTATATATACCTTTTAAAGATTGTTTTGAATTTACTCTGTTGGCTCACAAATAACTACATTCATATTGCTGTGTATTTTCTGTTTAGTTGATGAAGACCGCTCTACAAGACGTGTTTCTTATCTCAAAGCCACATGGAACGATCGGATGCACGTTGACAGTGATCTAGAACTTAGTGATACAGAACCAACTTCAGCTTGTCCAGCAAACGTCGCTCAGAGAAGGTAGGAATTATTAGATTAGCCGACAGGCAAGGGCTCGATGCTTGCAGCCTTATGTTGACCTGGTCGTAGAACTGTTTGTATTCCATGGTGTCAGTCTGCCAGTAGCATAAGTGTGTGCTGTATTCCCCACTGTGCTGTTGCCCCCTGAAGGTTGAAATACGTGTCATTACTAGATATTTGAAGTACGTAACTGGGAAATTGCAGACTTAATCGGAAATGGCGTCCGCCTTTATTTCCTGATGACATTCAACGCCTCAAGCGCCTCTTTGAAGATGCAGCAGCAGCGGCCACAGGCCATGCCACAGGCCATGCCATCAGTCAGCAACAGGGGTGAGACACTTAGTGCTCGCTACCTGCATGTCCATGACAATTTAAAATATCTCGATTAACAGCATCCAGCTTTGAGTCTGCGTTCACTATTTCTGAACTCATTCAACAATAATGCAAAGGCTTTGTGTCACTCCAATTTTAGATTTGTAGGTTCTGCTGCCACATTAGAGGAAACATTACTAACGCACCATGTCTCAGTCCAGAGCAGTAATCGGCCTCCAACTAATTTTTCTACACTAAGTGCATGTTGTGATCTAAATAACCCGTGTGTAATTTGAACTATACATTTGTGAAGTATCTTTTGATGATCTAATTTTGGAATTAACATGTTTTGATTGCACTGGCCAATATGGAATGCCGTATTTTTTTAAAAATTTTATCGGGGAAAGACCTTGTAAACTAATCATTTAATTAATTAACCATGGAGAATGCTGTGCCTGTTGTGTGCAGGCAAGTTTGGCAAGCTGGTCGCTTTGGGAAGTAATTGACTCGGAGGAATCTGCCCTGGTTTGCTTGGTCTCTACTCCTCGGCGCGGAGTGCGGAGTGCGGGGTAGAGACGGAACTCGTGTGTGTACGCAAAGAAAAACTAGTTTAGCGATGCACCCTGCACTGCCCTGCACCGGCAACAAAGGAGAGGAGTGTGGAGGGCCGCGCCGTGATGCAATGGTTCTGCTGCAGTGAAGACGGCTGGCGTGGCATGGTGCAGCGCGGCGCGGCGTGCCTGGACGCACGCGCGCGCTTCGTGCCCCGCGGGCTGCGTGCTGCCGTGCTGGTGGTGCAGTGCGAGATGCACTACCCTGGGCGCGCCACGCCGTGCCACGCCACGCCGCGCCTGTCCTGCCGCGAGCACGCTGCACATGCGCTGCGCTGCCGCGCTCTGCACGATGCTGGCGGTGGCACGCGGCACGCGTCGGTGGCCTGCCTAGAGTTTCACCAGTTTCACCACCGCGTGCGTGCCTGCGTGCGGGGCGCTCGTCGCTCGCCTCGAGGGGCACGATGGGCGCTGCGCTACGCTGCGGTAGGGCCTTACGGTGCAGGGGATGCGGGCGATAAGGCCGCTCGCCACCGCAGGAATGCAACCGGGTTTCGTTTTCGTTTGTTTTGTTTTTGTTGCTGTCTTTGATTGTTGTTTGTTAAGCTTTAGTCAGTGGGAGTATCGAACGGTTGCCGGCGGCAATTATTGTGGGCGTTTAAAAATAGCGACGGCTGCTTGGCACCGGACTTGCGGCCTTTGGGTCCGCCCCGCCGGGCCGCGCCGCGCCGCGCGATGGTGGCCGCATGCTAACCACGTCGCGTGGCGCGTGCCGCGTCGCGGACGGCACGGCATGGCCTTAAGGCCGGTAAGGACTACGCACCGGCCCGCACCGCCTCGCACCGCCTCGTCTCTAATTGGTCATGGGCTGGACAGGGACGGGGGGAGGGGCAGGGTTGGCGTCGACGACACGGCGGCCGCGTCCCGTCCGCGCCTCAGGCTCATGCCTCAGGCTCATGCCTCAGGCTCGTGCCTCAGGCTCATGCCTCAGGCTCGTGCCTCAGGCATTCGATGGGCCGGTGCCAGCGCGGCGCTCTCCAGGCCGGGGGCACGGCGGGCCGGGCGGGGCGGTGGCTCCTTGGCTGGTGGTGTCCTTCCGCCGACGTCGCAGACCTCGCGTGCTGACGCGTGCCGCCGTGTTGCAGCTCGGCGTCGAGGGCCGTCGTCCCCGCCAGCACGTCGCCGAGGTCCTCGCCGAGGACGTCCGCCAACAACAAGGAGAACGTCGAGCAGCAGGCGCCGCTGCACCGCGACCGCGAGGGCTGGCTGCACTGCAAAATCACCCTCATCGACGGCAAGGTGAGTGAAGCCTTCTAGTGGCATCGTGGTCGTTTTACCAGGCCTGCGTTTGTCACCCTGTCCCCGGTGTTGCAGCGCGCCCCCGACCGGTCCTGGAAGCAGGTGTGGGCCGTGGTCCGCGGCCCCATGCTGTGCCTCTACAAGGAGCGCGCGCACGCCCCGCACTCTGAGGTAAGTGGAGGAAGGGAAGCATCCGTCGCATCGACGCGGCGAGCGTGAGCTTCACCGCGGCATCGGCGACGACGAAAACAGCGCGGGGATCGGCTGGGGCTGACGCACCACGCCGGCGGTACCGCCTTACCGCCAGGGCGGCCAGGGCGGCCAGGGCGCCGTGTTAGCTAATACGCTCCCAGCGGATGGTTCGGGTCGGGTCGGGTCGGCTTGGGTTGCATCTCGTAGGAGAGCGGGGGAAGGGGTGAGCGGCAGGCCGACGGCGTGCCGACGAGGGGCCATTGTGTTGAACTGGTTTCCGTCCCGGCCTGCGCATTCGCTTTGCGTGCTTTTGCCCGCTTTTGCCCAGAAAGATGCGGCGACGTGATGCTGCGCGCCACCGCCGCGCCGCCACCCCGTTCCTCCCGTTCCCAGGGCCGCCCAGCCCAGGCGCCGTCCGCGGAGTCCACCACGCCCCGCCACGCCGCGGGTTTCCGGCGATTTGCGGCTTCTTTGCGGTGGCCGCCTTGCCTCGCCTCACACCTCGGCGGCGACCCGTTGCATGGTGTTGTGCGGACGGCGGCCCGGCGGCGGACCGCGGCACGCAACGGCGGCGGCGGTGGCGCGGTGCACGTAATCTCTGTTTTCTGTCGTTTCCTCCGCCGATTCGGATCTTGACCGGGGTCGCGGCGCCCTCCCGGGGCCGGGCCCGTCCAGTCTGCAGTGACCTGCAGCGACTGAGGAAGCGAGCTGCACGTCGTAGAGCCTCGTGCTTGGCATGAGCGGCGCGGCGCGCGGCGTTTCCGCAGCCGCGGAATATTGATAAGTTTTCCGCGGAAGTGCCGCCGGCCGGCCGGCCGGTGTTGACGGGGGGCCTGCCTGGCTGCCTGTCCGACTGTCCGACAGTGTGCCGGGCGGCTGGCCCCTGGCTGGCCGCGTCCCTCGCACGCGTCAAGCACGCCACCCGCGCCGCCCCACGCCACCGATGCCGCGAGTGCGGTGTGCGGTGCGCCGTGCGCGGTGTGGGCGTGGCCGAGGCGTGGCGCGCGCTGTGCGCGGAGTGCTCCGTGTTTCCGAAAGGCGTTGTGGACTTTCCCTTTTAAATGGGAGCAGTGCCGCTGCAGTCGGGTGCGGAGAGCGACCGACGGGGGAGGGGGGCACTCCCGCCCTGGAGAATCAAGTCATTACCTCTGGGTCGCGCCGTCGCGCCGCGACGATGGGATGGGACGGGGCCAAGTCGCGACGCCCCGCGACGACGGGGCCCCCTCCGAACAGCGCTTTGTCGCTCTCGCACCTCACGGTACGCCCCGCGAGTGCGAGAGAGACAGACGACAGAGGGACGAAAGCAGTGTTCGGGACCCACCGGCAAAGGCTTCCAGGATTTGGCGAGAAAAAGCGCCGTTTCGATTTGGCTTTGCCGAGGGGCCTGTCTCTCGGCCTGTCTCTCGGGCCCGCCTGTCGCGTTGTCCGCTGTCGTTGTCGCTTGCTTGGCCCCGCGCTGGAATTGGTGCCGCCCGACTTCTCTCCCCTTTTGAATGTGAATGTGAATCGGCGAGTCATCCCGCGCCTTGCTGTGCCTCTGCCTGCAGACGTCGCGCGCCGCTTGCCTTTGCAGAGCAAAACGGGACGCGGCTGACTGCAGACTGATTCCGAGAGTCGTTTTCGTCGCTCTGTCCCTCTCGCGTCCACACGGGACGCCCTACGAGTGTGAGAGAGGCAAAAGCGACAGAAACGACTCTGGGAATGAGTCTGCTGGTCGGCTTGTCGCGATGTTCGCTCGGTGCCCGTCGGTGCCCGCGTCCACTTCCGCCAGCGTCCCGCCTGGTCCCGCGGTCCCGCGACCCGAATGTGTAACGGTTTTTGGCGTTTTGACGTTTCGAGTTTGACGCGGGAAAGGGGGGGGGGGGCAAGGGAGGCCGTCTTGCGGCTGGCCCGGTTGGCCCCAATATGCGAGAGCGCTCTATGTAGCGCTGCCAGTGGAGTGCCAAACGTCAACGCCATGTCACCCGGCCGGGCCTTGGCCGGGCTGGCCGAGCGCTTTGGCCGGGCTGGACCGCTCCATTTGCAAAGGGCATGTCTTTGGTCTCTGCGGCTTGCTCTGGCTCGGCGTCCCCCGTTCGCCCCGCCCTTTCTACTGGTGGCAGGTCATGCGTCTTATCGTGCGGGCCGAGCAAATGAATGACAATGACGCTTTGCAAAATCCCGTTTCATAAGTTGAAGTTGGTCTTTCCCGTATGTGGGTCTCTTGCTCAAGTACTAGAAGCGAGTGTACTAGCGATGGCTCGTTGTTTTTGCGAGTGCTGCCTCTTGGCCTGCTTCAGGGCATGTCGTCAGCGGCCCCCCGGCCCCCTCCCTCGGGATCCCCCGGACGGACGCGCTGCCTGTGTCGTTGAAGTGTTTAATTCGCGTCGAACCGACCAAAACATTGCTCCCACGGCAGCTCCCCGCCCCGCCGCGCCCCACCGCGCCTCCCACTCCACCCGCGGCGCGCGCTGCGGAGCCCCACCAGCCCCACCGGGCCGCGGCGCGCCGTGTGCCTCTCGGGCCGGGGCGTTCGTTAGTTCTCCAAGCTCGCCCGGACCGGCCGCTGGCGCGCGAGGGACCCCGTGTGTGTACGTGTGTGCGTGCCGCGCCGTGTGTTTGTGTCGTGACGCCCAGCGCGTGCGGCGCCTCGTCCCCGGGGGATGACGGCGTGTTGACGGCGAGGTGTCGACGCCGTGGTGCGGCGGTGCAGGCCTGCCCCCGGCCCCCGCCGGCATGTGGCTCTTCATCTGGCACGTGAACCCGGCGCCGGCGATGTCCGAGGCGTCCCGGCGCCGCGTCGGCTCCAGCGCCGCGCTGCACGGCCCGCTGGACCTCGTCGCAGAGCCCGCCCTGCCGGCCTACCGGCCCAACCTGCCCAACCTGCGCCGGCTGCGGCGGTGGGGCTCCACCGGATCCTGGGTCAGTGTCTTCAGCTGTCGCGTTGTGGTCGCCGACGACGGCAACTTGAATTGAATCCTGACGGGGCTTCTTCCGCCAACCCAACGACGGCATCCCCGAGGACGCCGTCGAGGCCCCGCCGTGGCCCCGGATTCCCGGCCCGCGGCGGCCCTGACCCCGGCGACGCTCATTGCAGTGTGTGTGAGGTCTGAGCCTCGGTCCCCGCCCCGTTTTTGTAGATTACTGGGTCGCGCCGAAGCGGTCGTGACATGGCGTGTCGGCGGCAAGGCTGGCGGTAACGTCTAAACGTCTCGCTGCCGATTCACTGTGATTCATTCGACGCTTACGAGGCTGTGGTCCTGACTTATCAATCGGCCAATTAGTGGTCGTTGATTTACGGCCCGCTCGCCCACCGCCGTCTCTCTCGCACTCGCGGGACGGCCCGCAGGGGTGCGAGGGAGACGGCGTCGAGAGCCTAGTCCGCAGCCTGGCGCGGTTGACGTAATTTTTTGGCGGGGCTGCGGTGACACCCTGCAGTGCGTGGCCGGCCACTGCCGAGCGATTCGGGAGAGTCGGTTCGTCGCCTCGTCTCTCTCGCTCCCTCACGGGACGCCCCGGTAGTGCGAGAGAGACTCGGCGACGAAACGCCTCGACGGAAACAAGCCTTGCGGCCGACGGCCGACCTTTCCCCGGCGGCATTCTTTCTCGGGATGGCGAGCATGGCGAGCATGGTGAGGCACCCCGCGGCCTGCCGGCCTGCCGGCCTGGCCGTCGTTAATGCGACTTGACGTGACATCCCGATTGCTGAAGTGCGGAGGGAGGGAGAGAGAGAGAGAGTGCTCGGCTCGCCGGTGGTCGCGTCAGGGTTGCCTAACCGCTTCCCGCTCTCCGAGTCGTCACAAGCCGCCGCGCCGCGCCACGCCTCCGTTGTTGGCGGTGGCGGTGTCCTCTGGTGCGCTCGGCCCTCGCCCCGCCGCACCCCGCCCCGCCTCGCCCTCGCGCGGCCCACCCCCGTGAAGCCGGGCGCGTGGTGGGCCGGGCCAGCCGGCACAGCGTTTGGTCACTTTCACATCCAGCGCTACGAGCCGAGCCGGAAAAAGCAGAGCAAAGCAGTGCCGAGCCGAGCCAGTGAACACGGAGGCGCGGTGCGGCACGCGGCACGCCCGCAGAACGCCCTTTCCGCCCCCTCCCCCTTTTGCCTCGCGTAACTCGCTGCGCCGCGCCGCCGACTTGCAGGGCTTTAGCCACGCGCGCGTGTAAGTGTGTGTGTGTGTGTGTGTGTGTTGCGAGCCGCCCCGCTGAGATATCCGAACGGCATCGCATCGCACATGGCATCGCCTGCCGACCGCTTCCGAGAGTCTCGCTCCGTCTCGCTCGCACCTACACTGGGCGCCCCAAGAGTGCGAGCGAGACGGAGCGACTCTCGGCACCGGTCTGCTGGCTGTGAGCTTGTCCAGATTGGCCCGCGCTGCACTGCGGCCGCGCGCGCCGCGCACCGAGGTCTGCGGTGGGGCATTGGGCGCCATTGGGGCGAAGCCGGCGAAGCAGCGCGTTTCTACAAAGAGAGAAAGGTGGCGAGGCGAGGCGGGCTGCTGAAGCCGATCCGATACCTTGACGAAATTCGGCGGGCTGGCTGGCAAGCCGGTGTTGTTGGTGACGGTGGCGTCGCGGTGGTGGTGTCGTGTTTGCGGCGATGGGGCGGCCAGGTCGGCGGCGCGGCTTGGCGGTCGCGGTCGTGGAGGCTGCGCCGCTGCGGGGGCGTCCGTCTGGCGTCGCCGCCGGCGTCCGCCAAGGCAGCCAAGGCAACCGAGGCGTCCGCCGTCTTGTTAATTAATTATGATCACGGCGCGCCCTTGGTCCGCCCCGCTCCCGCTCGAGGTGATGATCCCATCGCGCTCCTCATCCCGCCGGCGTCCTTCTCTCTCGCACTTCCCGCGGTCCGTCGCTGGAGCGCGAGAGAGAGGGGTGGAGCGACGGAATCGGACTGCCGCCGCGCGCTGCGGAGCGCGCAGCGTGGCGAGGCGGACGGTGGCGTTGCAGCGGCGTCGGCGTTGCAGTGGCGTGGCTCTGCCGCCGCGGCGTCGGCGTTGCAGTGGCGTGGCTCTGCCGCCGCGGCGCCGCGCCTCGAGGCTCACGGTTTTCGCCCGCAAAGAATGGCACTGGCGGTGGCGCGCCATGCGGCCGGGTGGCCGTCATCACCGTGTGGCGGGGGCCGGGCCGTGCTACGCTGTGCCACGCTGTGCGCCTCCGTGTCTCCGAGGTGTCGTCGGAACGGGAATTACTCTTGTGACCGACAGGCAGCCTCCAAGCCGTGCCGCGCCGCGCCGCGCCGCACCGCCGCGACCTCAGGCGATTTAGGTCGGGTGCATGGAGAGGCGAGGCGAGGCGCGCATCGCGAGGTCGGTGTCGGGGCCGTTCGCTCTCCCCGCACCGCACCCCGGAGTGCGAGAGAGACGTGCAGAGCGACGAAACCACCGCCTGTTCGGAATGAGCAGTCAGTTTGCCGCTAGCGCCGCGAGCCGTCGTTATAACACAGCGCAGCTGACTTATTTGGGCTGGCTTGCCCGGTGTGCCGGTGGGACGTTGGCTGCCGCTGCCTCTGCCGCTAGTTGTTTGACTCGCCGGCCGGCCGGGGCTCTCTCTGTCCCTCTCTCTGCTTGCGCTGTGACCGTCGATAAGGGAAGCGGCATTCAAATATGGTGAAGGGCGCGGCGTGGCGGCGTGGCGCGTCAAAGTAACGGTGAGGCGCGAGCGCGCGGGGCGGAGCGTTGACCCGCGGCGTGTCACGCACGCCACGCCACTGTACGGCAGGGGCGCTAGGCGGCTGCTGCTATCAGCGGTCTAGGTGGCCTGCTTGGTGGAGACGCGGACGGACGGACGGCCCAGCCCTCTGTGCTGCCCGGCGGACCGCGGTCGCGACCGCGGACAAGCATTGGTGCGCGCGCGAGGGCATTGGCGGCAGAGGGAGAGAGAGAGAGGGGAAAAAAGTGTGGTTTTCCCTGCAGCAGTCGGAAGGAATTTGCCAGGCGGGCTGGTCGGCCGCCGTGCCGCCGTGCGTCGACGTGATGCCGAACACGGCGGATCGAAGCCCCGGGGCGACAGGATTTTTTTTTGTTTTTCGTGCCTCGTAACATGGTGTACTTGTGGAGTCTCTGGAAGTTTGTTCAACGGCGGCCTGGAAGTCTGTCCCGCCCCGTCCGTTTTTGCGGGCGGCGCGGGGTTCCTGGTTGTGGCTCCCAGTTCCCACCCGGCCGCAAGCCGGCCGACGAAGACGAAATGTATGCCATGTCGATACACAGTTTTGCCTTGTGCTTTGGAGCCATGCAGCAGTGCTAGCTGTGCTAGTTGGGCCCCGCGCTCCGCGCTATAGCGGTTGTCGTGTTTCTTTTCTTCCCTCTGCTTGTTTGCCGATTTCTTTCTTTCCGCGTCTCCTCCCGCCGCCCTCGCCTCCATTGACGACATGGAGGTGCTCGGCGTGGCGTGGCGTTTGAGTTCGCATGGGACGCGTGGCGTGCGGCGTGGCGCTTGCAGTGGCGTGGCGTGCGCTGACCCCGTCTTGACGGCTCCCACAGCACAAAGGCGACGCTGCCGCCGCGTCGTCGCGCTGCTCTGTTCCGCGCCGCGCTCCAGAGGGACGCGGCGGGAAGCTTCTCCGGCTCCAGCAGGAGACACGCGGCGCCGCCCCGCCCCGCCCCGCGCGGTCGGTCCTGTGTTCTGGGACGCCCGGGCGGGCCTGGCAGGCCTGGCAGACTCTGGGACTCCGCGAGTCATTTCCGCCTCCGCTTTCCACGCCTATGGCTGCCCGTGGCTGTCTATGGCTGCCTATGGCACGGCGGCGCCGCGGCGATCGGCGACCCCGAAAGCGGAAAGCTGAGGAGGAATCCGGTTTGACTAACGCGGTGTCGTTTATCTCCTGTGATCACACACTGCCAAAGTCCTGGCGGCGTCACAGTTGGTTCGGAGTCAACGTCCCGTTCCGTCCGAAAGCGTCGGCGTGCCACTGTAATACGCGTACGGTTATGTCGAAAGAGTGCGCGGTTCTCTTGCTGGGTTTGGCGTCGGTGGGTGCTGCCTGCTGCTCCTTCGCCCGAACGACTCGTCATTGAAACATAAAACAAGGGGAAGAGGGGGGGGGGGCTTGATTCCCGTCTATCTCATTTCGCCATCTTCCTGCCGCCCGCCCTGCCCTCGTTATGAGGCGCTCCGCGGCTCCGCGGAATGGAATGACAACCTTCAATCTGCCGCCGCGGCTCCGTCTGTCGTCTGTCTCTCTCGCACCGCCGCGGGACGCCCCGTGAGTGCGAGCGAGACAGAGCGAGCGACACACTGTCAGGGACATGGGCGGCCCTTGCGTGGCCTCTGATTTCGGCCTGCCTGTTTGCCAGTGTGGCGGACTGGACGTGCGAACTCGCGGCCGTCCGCGCTGCGCGCCCCGAAAATGAGCGGCGAGGAGGCGCTGCTGGCTGACAGCGCTCTGTCTCTCTTGCGTCGGGACGCGGCGCCCCTGGAGTGCGAGAGAGGAGGAGAGCTCTGTTCGGACGCGGCGCGCGGCGGGGCCGCGGTGCGGGTGAGGGCAATTGCGACCTAATGCGCGGTGCGCGGCATCTTCTCGTCGCCGGTCTCGGGACGGCCGGCCGGGAAGGCAGTAAACAGCAGCGCGGTGGGCCGAACCCGCCCCGCCCCGCCCCGCGTGCCGCCCGGAGCGTTGTTATCGGGGGCCTATTTGGGCTCCGAGTTCACACAGGTTCATCCGCCATGCCTGGCGTTGTTGGCCACGTCCGACTCACCGCACCGTGTGTGGAGTGCCGAGTGAGCGGGCTTCTTTCTCTGCGTTGTCCGTGTCGTTTGCTCCGCGGTCCAGTCCGCTCCAGGGCGCCTTGCGGTGGCCGGGTAGGCCGGCCCGCCGCACGGCTGCGTGTCGCGGTGCTGCCTACCCCCGCTCCGTCGGGCGCTACGCTGCCGCAGCTCGACGCGGCGCCCCGAAGAGGATTGCGCCAAACCCAACGGGCCAAGCCGGCCGAAAAACGCAATGAGTCGCGCCGGGTCCTATATTTGACTTGAAAACAACGACCTCAAAAAAAGGGTTGTCGCTGCGTGCTGCTCGCGGCCGTGCGTGCGCGTCTATGTGTGTGTGTGTGAGCGCCTCATTTGCATAACCGACGCGGCGTGCGCGGCGCGTCTCGCAACTGAACGCAAACAGAGCGCACCGCGCACGCACACTGCATGCGCACTGCCGCGTGCGTGCGTTTGCAATGCACGCCCCGCATGTGTGTGTGTGCGTGTGTGTGCGAGAGAGAGAGACGCGGGGTGCAAAGTGCGGTGCTGCGCCCGGTCCTGGACGGGCGGCGTGGCGGTGCCGGGCGTGGCGGTGCCGGGCGGTCCGACCCACGCGGCCAGGAAGCGCGTAATTAGGCTGCGCGATGCGGAGTGGAGCGGCGCGCGGCACGCGGAGCAATGGGAAGGGATTAGCCAGGATTTCCGCCAATGCGAAATGCAGCAGACTTTGTTGTTTTGAGGCCGATCGTTTGACGCAACGCCACGCGGGAAGAGGGCGTGGGCCGCGGGCGTCCATTGCCTTGCTGCTTCTCTGACGCGCCCGCTGTGTTTGTTGCAGACGCCGCTGGGGTCCGAGGGCCACGCCGCCGGCGACCACATCGACCTGCGCTGCTCCCTGGTGGAGGTGGCGGCCGACTACACCAAGAAGAAGCACGTGCTGCGCCTCAACTCGGCCAGCGGCTCGGAGCTGCTGCTGCAGGCGGACACGGGCGCCGACCTGCTGCAATGGGTGCGCGTGCTGCAGGACCAGGCGGGCGACGCCACCAACGCCGCCAACGGCGCGGAGGCGCCGGCCGCCGGAGCGAGCCCCGGCCAGGGCCTGTCCCCCACCGTGGCCCACAAGGGCATCAAGAAGCTGACGGCGCTGCGCAACCGGTCGCCGACGGCGCCGGCCGCCACGTCGTCGGGGTCCGGGTCCGTGGGCCAGGCCGTGGGCCAGCCCCCCGCCAGCAAGGCACGCAAGCAGAGCACGCCGGGGCAGCCGCAGCCGCAGCCCGGCGGGGTGCCGTTGCCGCAGGTCCTGCCGCAACTGCCGTCGCCCAAGTCCAAGACGTGGAAGGGCCGCGTGGCCAAGCAGTTCCGCAAGATGCACCAGGGCGGCGGCGGCAACTCGCCCAGCTCGCCGACGGCGCCTCAGGCGCAGCCCCACGCGGACGGCGTGGCCATCGGCGTGCCCCTCGAGGACTGCCCGCCGTCCTCGTTCTCCGAGGCGGTGCCGCTGCTAGTCGAGCTGTGCACCTCCATCGTGGAGGCCCGGGGCCTGGAGGTGATCGGGATCTACCGCGTGCCCGGCAACACGGCCGCCGTCACCTCCCTCACAGAGTCCATCAACAAGGGCTTCGACTACGTCAACCTACAGGTATGTAGTGCGCAGCTAGTTTCCTCACATCTACACGTCTTTATCTTTGTCATTTGCCGTTCATGTGACGTTCTGTTTGTGGTCTCAGGATCCCAGGTGGGGAGATGTGAATGTGATCTCAAGCCTGCTCAAGTCATTCTTCCGTCGCCTGCCTGACTCTTTGTTCACAACGGAATTGTATCCATCTTTTATTGAAGCTGATAAAATTGACAGCCCGCTCAAGAGGGTCCATGCTATTCGCAAAATTGTAAGTGCAAGTTTGTCAGATGAGCTTTTTAAGTTATGGTCCTGTGTTGAAAATTGATTACCGTAATGCTTTTTTTTCTGTTTTAAAAAATCAAACATTAGATTCGTGAGTTACCAGAGCATCATTATGAGACACTTAAGTACCTGCTTTCGCATCTGAAGCGAGTTGTTGAGCATTCTCATACAAATAAAATGGAAGCACGCAACCTTGCTATTGTGTTTGGACCAACATTAGTGCGTGCTGGCGATGATAACATGGTGACTATGGTTACTGATATGTCTAGCCAATGCCGCATCGTAGAAACACTTATATCCAATGTAAGTTGCCTCCTTGGTACCTTTGATTCTTACAATATATTTCACTTTTCAAGTGTGTGCATCCTTCAACTAATATAATTCCCCTATTCACAGGTCGATTGGTTCTTCTCAGAAGATGATTCTGAAGAGTTTCCAATGCCCGTTTCAGAAGATTCAAACACGCCTCTCAACTTGCCTAGTTCAGAAGCAGTTGCTGCTGCAACAGTTGGTGCTTCAAGTCAAAATCAGAGTTTATTGTTAGGAAATATTCATAAAGTGGAAGGTAAACTACTCTTCATGTCAAGGCAAACTGAACGGTCGAGTGGTATAAGAAAACAAAACTAATTGGTTTTTGTCTTTTTCAGGGCTGAAGGCTGAATCTCCCAGTAAAGATGTTAGTGCCAGAGATATTGTATCTTCAATAATTACTGCTGCTAATCGCAAAATTCAAAGAGGGAAAACAAAGAAGTCTGAAAGTGAACATGATCAGAAGCTGGTGCGCACCATAATTCATATCTTAATCACTATAACTTCTTGAGCCAGTCTTAACACTCAGGGACTAAAACAAGTGTGTTGTTTTTGTTTACTTATTAGATGGCTGATATTCAACGACCAAAGAACAAGGATCATTCATCTGGGTTTATGTCTGATCCTGATTCCCCTCCTCCTACCACCTCACTTAGTCATAAACGATGTTCCCTAACTGACCCAATGCGCATTCATGTAGAGCCCCAGGCTGCCATTGAGGTGAGGAGCAGCAATGAACCTGCTCCCTCCATACCTGCATCATCTATTCCAACAATAACAACCTCATCACCTAAAAGTAAGCATTTTACTGGTTTATTTTTTAAATGTCAACAGTAATTTAAAAAGAATTTTATAATAAATTCTGCAATCTTTCAACAGCTTCATTAGCATTACGATATAAGTCACCTCAGAGTGATGATGTTGCTATCATGAGCTATGCTAATCTGGCTCAGACCACCCAGGAAAGAATAAAGCGGTTTGAACAGGAGACTAAAGCTATGCTGGAAAGAGATTTGTACCGCCAGAATAGAGATTCTCAGCAGTGGGATGAGCAAAGAAAACAAATTGAGAGACAATGGCTTGAAGCCAAACAGGAACTTGAAGCTGATGACGCACTAGATAGTGTTATTAGTGCTGCCTCTGGTAAGTTTCAAAAATGCAATGTGGTTCATATCACTGCTTTCCCTTACAGTTTAAGTTCTTAACTTGTACATGTCCTTTCAGATAAAAAATTAAGTGGAGAAAAACTTCGAGTTGATTCCGTTAGGTCTCTTCTTAGTAGTACAAGTAGTAGTGGCAGTGCCAGTGGAGGTGCCACTCCACCTCAAAGATCATCTTGGCGAGTTGGATGGGGGTCCCGTCTTTCTTCTACTTCCAACACTTCTAACTCAGCGTCATCTCTTGTAGGGGCCACTCAAGCTGCCCCAGCAACCACTCTACCAGATGCCCAGAATAATGGACATCTAAAAAGAATGAAGACTGGCAAGGAACCGGTAAGTTCCTTTTTCTGTATTATAATGTCACAATTAAATCTGTTTACACTTCTTAATTTTTCTGTTTTGGTTTTTGCAGAGGTCAGGCTCTTTAGACTCTCTCCAGGGAGTACCAGCTTGTGAGCGAACCCACAGTCACATGTCAGATGAAGGTAATTATATTAAAGATAGTCTTCTTTTTTTTTTTTGCACTTTCTTTTATGATTGAACCAGGAAATCAGAATCTCCAATCTGTGACATGTTTCCACCAGACTTACTATTTCAGTTCTTTACTCTGATTCAAACTGGGCTAAAAATTTAGAAAAATTTAAATCAGGGCACCTCCAAATAAGATCAGGAAATTTGTTTCTTTCTTGATTTGAGGCAGCTTGAGGGTAAAGTGTTCCTGCCAGCCAGGTTTCTCTCATGGGTGGGTTTGTGTTATAGGCCGGACAAGATTACACGCTCAAACCAGGCTGGCGAGACACTCATATTTTCTCAGGAAGTAGAGTAGGAAGGTAAGCAGTGTGTGTGCTGCTTAAACTTCCTCAAGATTGCTTATTAACAGTGTGCTTCGTTTGTGAAACTGCTATAACTTGCACATTTGCAGCGATTCTGAAATTTAGATAAACCAAGGTGGTTTCTCTTGAGACCATTATTTTTGTATTTAATGTCACTAAATTGAGTTGTACATGAAGTGTTCATGCTCCGCCTGAAAGGTCACAAAGCAACTCGTATTTATTACCTTTTAAACAATTCAACAAGACCATAATGTCTTAATTGTTAGGTTTAATTTTGTTGCAAAAGTGCAGCATATGAACGTATGAAAATCATGAAACATTCTGAACCTTCTGCAAATTTTTTTGTTTTGTTACTGTGCTAACCATATAACACTTGCTTGCCTCTATTACTACCACCTTTTGCACTGAGGAGAAAGAAAGCTATTTGTCTTTATTTATTCTCCTTGATGTCACCAAACTTAAAAGTTTATTTAATAATCTGCCCAAGACTTGCATATTGTTTGAATGTGTGGATAACAAGTGCTGTCATAGGCTACACCTGAAGAATATCTATGCACCAATTCTCCTTTGCAGCTTTGATGAAGTGCTGATACCAGATTAAAGGCCCACATTACCTCTAATAACATGAATAATGTGTGAAAATTGTAAATTTATATTAGCATTTTTGTTTGTTTTAGGTGGGGATCTCTTGGCAACTCTTACTTCTACTTTTGACCAAAAGATGAAATCCCTCCTGGGAGCAAGCAAGCCTACTTCAGCAGCAGCTAAAGTGGTCCATACAAAACCCAGTTCTAAGGCTTCCAATAGTGGTTCAGAGGCCACATCCAGTTCCTCTAAGTCAAGTTCAACAACTAATACAGTGACCACAACCGCTGCTCCCGCGTCTTGTGATGTGAAAGCAGTCTCAAACAAGACTACGACTGCCCCAGAGCGCCTGCACCTCTTAAACTGTGATGAAGATATTCCATTTGCCGATACTGATGCAACAGAATTGGAGGCTCGAGGAACTCAAACATCATCTGTGCCAGTTAGTCTTCTTGCTCAAGGACAGACAGTATCCCCCACTGCTCTCCTCAGCTACAGGGATCCAAGCTTACACCGAGCTTCACGCATTTTGCGCTCTTCTACGGTTTGTATTTTTGTTTTTAGGTTAAAAAGAAAAATAGCTTTAGTAGCCTTGCTTTGTTCATGTAAACTGATTTAAATTTTTTTGATTTCAGGTACCTGCCAATTCAACAAATGTTGACAACAAGGAGACCATGGATAGTTCAGGAGCTAAATACTCTCCTCTACGATGGTCTACTCCTGTAAATGTGGCTGATTGCAATTTTATTGGTGAAACTGAAAGAACTGTGTTTGAGAAGAAAGCAGATGGTAGTGTGCCACCAAGTATTGGTATAGGCAGGTCTGAAGGTGGTCCAGTCAGTACAACAAGTAGTTCACCTGTGAAAACAAGCTTAGCAAGTGTTAATGCTCCTTGTAGTGGACCTGTTAATTCACAATGTGATAAGTTAAAACATTCAGATTCATCAAAAAAGACTGATTGTTTTCAGTCTTCAACTAAACTAAAACGTTCAGAATCACTCAACAAATCCTCTGACCGATCAGATAGTATCTTAAACTTAAAACTCCGCCGCTCAGAGTCTCTCAACAAAAATGATCGTGCAGAAATTAACTTGAATGTTAAGTTAAGGAGGTCTGAGTCACTCAATAAAAATGAAAGAAGTGATTCTAAACTGAAACGTTCAGACTCGCTCACAAAGACTGAGAAAACTGAATCAAATATGAACCGCAGACGCCAACAAGAAAACAGAGCTAATGCCCGAGGTAATTGTGGTGGTAGCACAAATATTCGTGACAAGGAAACTACTAAAATGTTCATTCAAAATGCTACCATAGTGCTCACCAAGCTAAAGCGCAAGAATGGAATGCCAGAAAGATCCATCAAAAGGCGGCATACTGTCGGTGGTACCAAAGATTTTGACAAAATACACTGGCTAGATAATCGCCTTCAAAGTGATCAATGGGAAAGTAACAATACATCTGTGGGCTCAAAAGAAAAAAAGTCATTAAGAACATCCTCACCTGACCTGAGTTCATCAAGACTTGCAGGAATTCTTGTTGAAGTTAGCCTTTTGCATTCCGGTGATGTACATCGCCCTCACAGCCTCCCTGATCCTAATCTGGTGTCTGCTGTTTTTAAAGTACCACTTGAGTCACATGTTTGACAGATTTATCCTTTTAAATGTATCAATTTGAAAAGAAGTGGACCATGTTTGTCTTCATTGGTAGTGACTTTAATTTTATTGTTCAACTTTAAAACTTTATCAACACAATAATGGATCAATTTTACTTAAGGGAATATGGTACTTCTGCATCAGTGTTGACCAATATTATAAATTCCATTAAGACTGACTGAGCACTTGCATCTTTTGACTTCCTAGGAAACCAAAAGATTTTATGTTCTGTTAACAAATGCTTTTTAGTGCAAGTTGCTTTAATCTGGTTAGCGACTTGTTTGGTGTTTTATTATTCACTATATTGTATTAGTCTGCTGGAGTTGCCGTGGGCAGACATTTGTTGCTAAGCATTGTGATATTTAACATCCTTGATTAGTCTCCTCTTTAAATGAAATTGAGTGCTTGTAATGGTTTAATAAGGATTGTTTGTGTGATGAGTGTGTACTCAATAGCACATTTTATTTGTGTTGGTGTGTTTGTGTGCCGATGCTCAAGTTCCACCTAGTGGAGTTTTAAAAATTTCTTTGGACATGTTGATCTGGTTCTTTAGTAACCTAATGTGAAGTAACACACGATGGGCAGCAATTGCTGAGTAGATTTGTTTTTTATGTGAATGTAAAAGAATGTTGCTTTGAGGGAGTATCCCTGTGATATGGTAGCAAAGGGTCATTTCCTGACTCTGTTTGTTAAGTCCACTATCCAACCAAAACAATATTATAGTTAAAATTCAGTTTTTAAATATTCAACATAAGATTTTGCTTCTGTGTTTACGTAACAAAGCCAGGTGGGCCGCGATTGGAAGACACTTCCAATGACGACTGAGTGTTGTGTGAATGCTTTGGCCTTCCTTTTTTTATAGTATAAAAACAAAAAATTCCCTCCGCGCATTGCTGATATGATAGCTGTGCTGTTTCATTGCAAATGTCATTTTCATCTTCCTTTTTGAAACACTATGTCGAGTTGACGTTATAAATGATAACATTTCATGTATGCAGTAATTTTAATGAATGATACCCTAGCTGCCCTGACAGCTTTTGACCAAATGTATGTTGAGCATTTGTGAAAGCGGAGGAACATGTTACCTCAGGATGTGCAAACTTGCTACTCAAACATTCCTGTAGTAGCTTTAAGGTGGCCCTATAAAGTTAACCTGCCATGTTTTTGGGGTGTGTGTGTGTGTGTGTGTGTATGTATGTGTGTGTCTGTCTGTGTGTATGTGTGTGTGTATCGGCGTGTTTTTGTTTTCACCGCTATCTTAAGAAGGATGCACTTAAATTATGATAGAAGCTTTATTTCTTTTGTTATGCCTGAAAGGCTTTTCTTCTTTTCCTTTTAAGTTACTTGCTGGAGCTGACATGCTCTTGGTGAAAAATTTAGTTTTGCTTTAACTGTGATTATGCAAAAGACCTTTTGGTCTTTTGAACTGTGTACATATTACATCAAGAATGTGCTTTATGTTAGACTCCAAATTGTAGTATGTATTATTGTATTTGTTTGTGTATAATTTACATGTTTAATGTGCATTTTCATTATTGGACAACCTTTGTGAATTTAACTTAAACTGTATGCAATATGAACACACATTGGATGCAGATCCCTTCAATGTTTGTTTAAAGTACGTATTATATTGAGATAGAAGAATAAAGTGAATAAGTATCACTTTGAAAGTATTTACTGTGACAGTGTGATATTTCAATGTGGTCTAGATTTATTTTGTCATCTTTGACTAGACTATAAATCTGTACTTATTGTAATTTATGGCTGCTTCTCTCAAGATTTGAACAGAATAACTCTGCATTTTTTGTTTAACTGGTTACCAAATTTTCTGAATTAAATCACTGTATAGAATATATTAATTTATATTCAAAACACAATTAAAATGTATATCGGTCTTTACATGGCATGACAATGTACCTGATTCATGTTATATCTACTTTATTGTTGGTAATGGTTTAGCATGGATCTCAAACTTGCCAGTCCTCAATCATATCAAATGCATATGCACTTCTTTTATAAAAGTTTATATGTATACATGGTAATAGAAAATCTCTTTGTGAATAAACACTATTCAATGATGAAAAACAAGCTTTCATTTATACCCCCAATACTGAACTAGCATGCCCATGTCATGGCGCGCACACACTGGTACTGTAACCAAATTCTGCAATAAGGTGATTTGACAAAAAAATAAAGTCACAAATTGCCAGGAATTGTGTTATATTTGGCAGTTAGCCTCACTGGGCTGATTAAGATTTATTGGTAGCAAAACACTACCTGAAAAGTGGATTGTTGGTTTTTATGAAGTACAGAAGTTAACACATTAGACAGAACCTTGATGGAAGACACAAATTTCAGAATCTATGTGAACCTTTACGTGGATGGATGTAAGTTTGTTGCAAAGCTCCATCAAACATCAACAAAATTAAGAAGCAAGTAGTCTCTATTAACACTTTTCTGTTTTCTAGTCCTTATTATAAAACCTAATAAAAAACCAAATTGCTTGGTAATTGTGCAATAATTGTACAAAAAAATCTTAGTCTAAAAAATAGGGTGCACTGTCATATTGTTCTAACATCACAATTCAAATATTTTGAAGAACAAGTTTTGTAATGAATTAATTAAAACTTTGTGTCTCCTTTGGTGCCACACAAATAAGAACAGTCTCAGTATGAGCAAAAATGAAAAGTATAAATATTGCCAAACAGTCTTCAGCTCTTAACTACATAAAAGATGTCTTTGAACTCTCAGAGACACACAGACACACACACACACACAAAACAGGGAGAATGCTCTCCCAAACTATAATATGTACAAGATAAGCATTAACTTCATTATCAGATGATGAGACTTTGGTCATCATGAACTAGGAATAAATTATTTATTACGTACTATTACAAATACAGATCTATACTCAAAAAGGTACTTTGACATGAAGTAAAAAAGAAGAAAGATAAAAAACGAGAGAGAGGGATGTAAAAGAAATGTAAAAGTTCAATGAAAATATAAAACTTGATCTAACTGACAACCGGAATGGGCAACAACAACCGAAAAACAAAGTGATGGAATAGAGCAGGTCTAAATTAAACAAGGAGGAGCATGCAATGCATTAAGAGTGCATGCATGACCACATGATGAGGGAACTTTAGCCATAATACAACCATGACTTATCAGTATTTCACCCATTCAAAGTCACTCCTGTTTCACTATGCAGGATGCAAGTTAGGCTCTGGTAGAAGAGGAACTGAATTTTCTCCCGCCTCCTTTTCCTTATGTCGGATAGCTGCAACATCATGCAGCTCTACATCATTGTACTTGATCCCAGCAGAACTGCTTGAATCTGAAAATTATGTGAACATAAGAAGTTGTTTCCCTGCACTTCAAAATAAGCACCCTACAAAACTCTGTTTAAAGTAATGAAATGATACTAACCTTTAAGAGTTGAGTCCAGTTGTTCTTGTGTGCTAACATGAATAAAATCTTCTAGTCCCACCCCATGCAGAACTGACAAAACTGCAGCTCTTGGTTTGTAAAATAGAATCCGCTGTTTACGTTTGTGGAAGTCATCAATAAGCGATGCTATGCCCTGAAAACATATTATAATAAACATAAATCATTTTGACATTTTTAAGTGTTGTACACGGTTGTACAAGACAAGACCAACAACTGCAATAGTACCTTTGCAGCAGTATAGTCAGCTCCCAAAATAAAGCGGCAGTCAACAACGACAGGCAACTGACTAGCTCCCTGTTTAATACCTGCACGACCAACACTAGCTCTAATGAAATCAACAGCAGGAAAGTAGAGGCTGTTACCAAGTGTAACCATAAGGTAAGATATTCCAGAGGCGGTCTAATGATGTGGGAGAGAAAAGAGAGGGATTAACTAATGAGCCTGACATATTTGTAAGGAGGCCAGTTGACTTTTAGTAAGTACTCACAGTATTTTGTTCAACATGAACGCTTGGTCTAGCTGATGGATACAATAGAAACACAATATTGATTGCCACTCCAACCAAAATACCATACTCAACTCCAATTGCTAGGCAAAGCACAAAAGTTGCTGCCATTGCCACCAAATCTTTGCCTGGAATCAGCCAAATAATCAAGTATAGGTAACAGAACAAAAAGTAATTTGCAAAACACAATTTTGAAATCTCTTACGACTGCTTCTCCACATGGGCTTGACAACTTCATATTCAATCATAAAGATGACTGCACAAATAATTACAGCTGCAAGTGATGCTTTTGGTATATAGTAGAAGTAAGGCGTCAGAAGGCTCAGAGCAAGTAAAATCAATGCACCTGAAAAACAGTTTTTAAAATACATTAGTGAAAGAAATTTTAAAATAAAAAGGAAAGCACAAATGTAACAGGTTTTGTTTTAAAGACTGACCGGTGTACACTCCACCCATTGGAGTACGGACACCACTTGCATGGTTGACAGCAGAACGTGAAAATGATCCCGTGACAGGCATTGAGGAAACAAATGAACCAGCAACATTGCACAAGCCAAGAGTTAACAGTTCTTGTGTAGCATCAATTGAGTCACCACTGGCTGCAAAATAAGAAAAAAAGACACAGTCAAAACTAACCACACTGGCAAACATAAATTTTCAAAACGTTTATTACCAACCAAATGCTTTTGCAATTGCAACATTTCCCAAAACTGCAATGACTGGCACAAGGACAATTGAAGATCCCAGTTCTGTGCACATGCCAGTGAAGTCAAATGTCTGATTTGAGAAACTGGTTTGGAATGGAGGAAGTTGCAGAGGAGGCAACCCCGATTGAAGTTTTCCTGTAGGTGTAAGAAAGATTGAAGATGGTGATTTCATGAAATAAACCTTAAAAGCATTTATTGCTCAGAAGTTGAACAGATAACATAGTAGGTAGGAAGGAAAAAAACGAACCTGTAAGTACAAACACTGATTCAGTCCCTTGCTCATGGAGAAGGTATGCTAGGAAGGAGCATGCAAGAACCATGAGTGCGTTTCTTGATGTTGATATAAGCCACAATGTTTTCATGATAATTTTTTGCTTTCTTGTTGGTTTGGACCCACCAATTTTAATGTCTTTTATTTTCTGTATGAAGAATGGTACCAAATTTAATAACAACGTGTTCTTTTCGTAATGAGTTCGAGAATAAAATGCTCTTTTACTTACTCGGAAGGAGAGAAGAATAATGATGCAACTTAGTCCCAGGACTAAATCCCAAATTCGAGTTTCCCCTGCATGTGAAAATACTTTGCGAACATTATCAGCAAATCCAGAGGAATCAAATTTCAGACCCATAAGACCCTTCAGTTGAGAGGTTCCTATGATAACAGATGTTGCTGATGTGAATCCAACGGTTACTGGGATAGAAATAAAATCAACCAAAACACCTGTTGAAAAGAAATAACAAATATGAAATAGATCACACATGCTGAGATTCAGAGCCTTCCTTATTGGAGTACTGAAATAAAAGAAAGTAAAATGGTAACTCACCTAGATGCAGAACACCCATGAGAAGCTGCACACAACCAGAAAGGAAGCATAGCAAAATGGCAAAGTCCGCATTACGACCTATTGTTTGCTGATAAGTCATAAGTGCCATTAGGGCAGTTGGTCCTATCGTAATGTCTTTGCAGCTGCCAAATATGGCATATATGAAGCAACCCACAAAAGCAGAATACAGACCATACTGAAACAAGTCATCAAATAAATATCAATTTTAAGCATTGTAATGTAATACATTTATTTTGTTAATGCCAAGATACCAATGAGTATCCTAATTAAAATTGATTTCTATTCAAAATAAATAAATACCTGGGGTTCCAATCCCGCTAATGTAGCATATGCCAAGGCCTGTGGCATGACAGTCAGGCCAACAGTCACACCAGCAATCAAATCACATACAAACTTGTCCCTGTTGTACTCAGGAAGCCATTCTGTGATGCGGACACGACGATTTAAGAACCGCTTTGTACTTCGCTTCCAATCTTTTTGTTTGGAAGGCATGGCTGAGCAGGTCACCAGTTCCTGCAAAGAAGAAGAGGCACCAATTAAAAATGATGATAGCTAATAGAGACTCAGCAGCTTCTTTCAAATTTTCCCTTTACATTCTAGTAGAGTGAATATGGGAGTAAATTCAGCAGTTTGAACTTAAAATAGACTACATTGCTATGGTCTAAACTATAAAGACTGTCAGCACTTCTGAATAGAAACACAGCAGCAACGTCAAAATACAGAATCAATCGTACAGTAGTCCCACCGCGTTAAGACTCCCGCACAAACCGCTATGTTTACATAGTATTCAAATCGTCTGCTTTGTTTACATGTGCACGTCGATGGCACAGCAGGCGGGCGGCTCGTTTGGAGGTTACCTCGGGCTCGGGGCTGTCGTCGCGGCCCGTCCTGGAGCAGGCAGGGGCCTGGGGGGTCGTTTGCGACATCCTGGCGGCGCGGCAGCGGCCGATAGCACGACATCAAGGCCCTGGGCTATGACACCCATTGACGCGGCGCGAAAGGACGCTCGCCGGCAGCAGAGGGAATGAAAGGGACGCTGGCCGCCATGTTTGCCGCCGCTGCTGCCGCCTCCGCGACGCGACGACGACGACGACAACCACCACACCACCACCACCACCACCACGACTCGTAGTCCTTCCGGTGTGGCGGGGCGTGTCGGCGTCGGCGTCTGCGCCGAGTAGGGCTTCATCTCCCCCCGCTACAAATGATCATGTCCGCGGTGCTTCGAGTGTCGAGGAACACCGAGCACGACACTCGAGCCGCAGGGCCGCCGCTTTAAAGGCAACAGCCCCTGCGAGGCAGGCCGCCGGCCCGGAACGCAAGAAGGCACCCGTGGAGAGACGGTGGTCTACCTTGCCTCTGCCCACAGGCGCAAGGTAGGCCACCGTAAACGCCGGAGTGTTGCGGCACGGGATGTTGGCCTACCTCGCAGGCGGGCGGCCGAACCTTCACGGCGGAACAGTGCAAACATTGGGATTTTCAAGAGCAACCTCCGCAACGGTGCGCTCGACAGCGCCCGAGGAGTAGGCAACCCATTTGACACATGTAGTGCCTGCGGGGTGGGGCGGCGGCGTCAGTAGGCGTCAGCTTGGCGTCAGCAAGCAGGGCGAGGAGGATGCGTGGCCGTGCGAGCCGAGTGGCCGAGGTTGAGGGCAGCTGGGCAGCTCGACGACAACAACACGCCTGTTGGACACACCTCCAGGCCTGCAGGCCAGGCAGGCCAGCCTCGCCTCCAGGTCTGTTGCAAGGCCGGCCAAACTCGTAAACCTACATCCCGAGCCGCCGCCCGCCGCCGTCAGGCCGTCACCACACTGTCCGGCCAGGCCGCCAGTCCCTGCCAGTCCCGGTGGACCGGCGCGGCCACTTCCGCGTCCTTCTCGAACGCACCCCGGTTGTTTTGGCGTCGCCAAGCGGTGACGCGGTGACGCGGTGACGCAGTGACGCGGGTGTCCGGCAGTGTCCTGGCGAAGCGCACCGCCTTGCGCACCGCGGCGTATCGGTGTCAAGGGCCCGCCCCGGCCGAAGCCCCGGCCGAAGCCCCGGCCTGTCCAGGGCACCTGGAACACCCGAAAAGCGGCCTGAGAGCGCCGGCCAGGAGCGCCGCGCACCTAGAGACCTCAACGCGCTCTCGCCAACTTTGGAGGTGTTCTTTGCACGGCACACCTGGCAAAACTTTGTAATTGAGTCATTGAGTGCACAACAAACCAAACACACACGACCGAGACAGCAGTCGCTCACATAGTGATAAGATCGATTTTCTCGCCAATTTCTTTATCAGACTCCTGTTAGTCGCATTTGCCATCATGCTTTTCGAGAACGGGGCAAAGTAATGACCAAAACACGCCCTCCAAGGAGGGGCGATGACGCCGTGCTTTGAAACTCCCAGAGAATCCCGTGAGCGGTCTTCCCCGGCACTGCAAGTATGTGCTGACGGACGCGGCTGCGGAGATAGGACACGTCCTAGGCTCCTACGGCAGGGACTGGGAGGGGGGAGAGGGGGGAGGGGTCCTCGAGGGCGCTGGAGTAGCTGTGATAAGGCTCGGCTGTAATTACACGTTGTTCCCACTTGCCCACTTTTGCTTGCCCCGGCATAGACTAGACTCGGCCAGGCGAGGCGCAACGCCGAGGTCAAGGAGAAGAGTGTTCTCCGCTTGTGGCGGCAGAGCGGCAGAGCGGTGGATGGGTGGGGTTACCCCCGAAGGGCCGGAGGGGAGGGGCTGTTGCCGTCGCTTCGGCTTTTACAAGCGCGGTGGTTCGAACCAGTACCTCCACCCCGCGCCTCGCCTCGCCTCGCCGAGCCGAGCCGCGCTCCGCCCCGCCCACGGAAGGCACCTTCATTAGGGAATACGCGGCGCGCGGCGTCGTCGCGGTGGCGCCACGAAGAACGGCCCGATGAAGCTATAGTTAGGACGCCCCGCCCCGCCCCGCCCCGACGTCACGAGGACAATGCGCGCACGTGACTGCTCCGCTGGAATAAGTCAACTCGACACTCGACACGGCGAGGCTGTACAAAAATGGGTTCCGCAAAAAATGGTCGCAAAAAATGGTCGCAGAAAAGGCGACAAATCAACTCGACAGTCCGTGGGCATGCGGGGCTCTGGTTCGGCCGACCAGTGTGCCTCCTCTGCTCCGCGTCCGACGCGTCGGCGGGTCGGGTCCACCTCGAGGCCGCCCACGCCCTGACTGACCTATGCAGAGATAGTGAAAGTAGTAAACTCGGATTCGCTCCGGACGTCCGCGGCTCAGCCTAGAGTGTCCCCCCGCCCAAGGGGACGGGATGCAGCCTAGCCGCCGCGCTGCAACGCGCTATTTTTACAAAGTACCAAAGTCGCCCTCCTGTCGGACGCTCCCCCCTCCCCTGCCCCCGGTCGGCGGCGCACGCGGCAGCACGGCGCGGATAGAGAGCTCTAATTGGTGGGCAGTCCTGCCCCGAGCCCTCGGCAAGCACCAAGCCTCATCTTCCGAACCGAAAACAAAAACGCCACCAAATAACGACAAAAACACCACCAAATAACGACAAAAAAACCCGAAAAGTGGGGAAAACGCGGTGAAAATTTTCACCGCCTCGGCTGCCATGCCTCGTGCACGATGTGCGGGCTAGGGTTCGAGTTCGCGAGTTCGCGCCCCCGGTGCCGTGGTTATCGCGCCAATAAAAAAGTGCGAGTCTTTTTCATGTTTATGCTTCATTTTTGTGATTCGCTGCGCAGGAATACTGAGGAAGGAGGAAAAGGGGGAGGGGGAGGGGGATGGCACGAGACGATTATGAGTCAAGGCTCGCTCGGGCGGACGCCCCAGACCCCCTATCGCACCGGCTGCGCCATGGAGCGCCGGACCCATCGGCCCGGCTCGATATATTGGTTTCCAGTTCGTCAACGACACCACCGGCTTTTTCGACACAATGTAGGGAAAAAACTGCGGGCCGAATAGAAAGTTAGTCGTAAAAAAAATATACTACACTCCTAAAGAACAACTAAAGTGGACTCTTATGGCTGAGCCAGTCCCTAGAAAAAGAGTTGTAGCTCGTTCGGAGTCTGGGGCTGAGGAAATATGCAAATTGCTCTGATGCAAATATACGTCTTTCCTGTCAACAAACTTTCCTCCCTTGACATGTTGTTTTCAGAACTTAGTGATGGAGTTTGTTGCGACGCCATAGACACCATATCTTTCTCCTGGTTCTGCACCACCGAAATAAGCGGCAAAGGCGAGGCAAAGGCCCCCGCCCCGCCCCGCCCCACCCCACCCCGCCACGCCGCGCGCTCCACACCGCGTGCCTTGATGATGGCGCGGAACCGGTTCTGACCTTGGTTCCGTAATCCGGTTTCGATAACGTCATTTTTATTCTCGTCTCGGCCGATTCCAACCCGGCTTATCCGCGCAGTCCCGGCCCGGCCCGGCCCGACCCGGTCAGCCCCCCCAGTGTGTCATCGCTCTCGACCGTTTTTGGCCATGTCCTTCTCCCGGCGGGGGGGGGGGGGGTGGATGCATGCTGGGGGACGGGGAGGAGGGAGGAACCGGTCGCCCACAGTTCCTGGAAAACGGACCGCAGAGGGGGGGGACACAGCATCCTTTGTAGGGCGTCGTGGAAAGGCGCGAGAGAGATGACTTACTGGGTTCGACGCCACTGGGGCAGGGAGGCAGGGGCACACTCCGACTGCATGTCTTGCCGTCCGCGCCGATTCGCCAGACCGCCGGGCCGCCGGGCTGGGACACTCCGACTCAAAAGAAGCGGCGGCCGGGACTGTACGCAGTACACTGTCCCCGGCGGCGGCCCGGCGGCAGGCATAAAGTGTGTGGCACTGGCACTTTCGGCGAGAGCGCTGCGCAGTGCGGCGCGGAGTGCGCGCTATGCGATATACGGCCCGAGCACACAGCGTGCGGGCCGAACGCGAGCCCGGGACCGAAGCGAACCGAATCGGCGACGCCTTCGCGCGCCTTCGCGGAAACGCGAAACACGGCCTGCCCGCGCTGCCCGCCTGCAGGCTGATTCCGAGAGCCCTTTCCGTCGCTGTCTCTCTCGCACCGAGACGGCACGCCTCGCGAGTGCGACAGAGACGGCGCGACTCTTCGAATCACTGCCGCTCGCCTTCTCGCCGTTTTTGCACCCGTGGGTCCGATCCGAGCGAGCGACTCGGGCACTGGCACGCCCCGCCCCGCCCCGCCCCGCCCCGCTCCGACGAGCCGCGACCGGATAATCGACACGAAAACCCGCGAGTGTGGTGACGTGGCGGTTCCACCCGGTTCTACCCGGTTGCTTTGGCACCGTCGGGCACGCCGACAACAACACGCCGGCGGCGGAGCGAATCAGCGAATCCGATAATCGACTCGAATCCCGAGTGCTGTACTTCCCGCACTCGGTTCTACCCGGTTGCTCGGCTCCAAGGACGGGCAAGCCGACGGCGACACGCTGGCGGCGGTGTTGCGCGCAGCAGACGCCCAGCCCGCCGACAGCGACGGCGCAGCGCGCGGTGCGGCCGGCAGATTGATGCTGATTGGGTCGTTCAAACTTGGGCGCGTTTTGCCCGCCTGCCTGCCTGCTCCCGGCCGATGTGATGTGCGGCTTGCTCATCGAAGGAGCTGCACTGCCACGCCACGCCGCCACAAACAGCGGACGCGGCGGACGCGCTGCACTTCCTACACCGCCAAGCGCGGCCAAGCGCCGCCAAGGCAGGGCTGGTCGTAAAACAAAGAAACGCCGCGTCGCGCCGCGTCGTCTGCTAGACAGATTTGAATGCAGAAAGGCGCGGTCCGCCGAGGCGGCCGAGGCCGTGGCCTTCCCCTTATTTTATGTTGGCATTACGGCGAGATGGGGCGACGCGTAGCGCCCCGGGCAACAACACCTGCATACCCCCCTCCCCGATTCGATCGATACCTGCCGCCCGATTCATAGTGATGCTGGCGGATGCTGGCACGCTGGACCGCACAGGGGCGGATCCAGAAGCGGCCGGAGGGAGGCGGAAAGTAGCGCTTTTGGCCCACTTGTCCGACACTGTGCTTGCCTGGAGCGGATCATCTCCAGTGTGCTTGCGTGCGCTCGTTTGCACACGCACACCGCCCATCTCTCTGTGGCCGGCGTTGGCCGGG